TTAGATCAAGATGGAGGAGAAAAATGGTCTGGAAAGACATGTACAGTCGTCATTTGGGTTTTGTCTATCCCCGCAACGAGGTTAAGCAACAGTTACTGACCGTTTCTAGGCCTACTCACTCCACAACAAAGACGAGTTCAGCCAAAGAAAGAGGTTTTCTGCAACTTGTCGTCCTGGCTGGCAGGTTCTGATGCAGCCCCTCCAGTCTCCATCTGCTGCCCTCACCCCCCTCTCCTTTCAAGAGCACATACTCACTATCCGCCAGAGTGAGCCTCGTGTGTGACCCCAATGAATGGCAGTTGGCGTAGTCAGGCCAAGGCATACGGAAGGTGGTACAAGTGGGCCTACAATCATTTATCGTTCCATTCTCTTTGCGTTTCTGGTACGGCTCCAGGAAAGAAGAGATGCTGGCAGAGGCTCGAACATTGCCACTTAGGCACTTGTTTGTTGAGTCGCTAAGGCTACCACTTGACATACGCTCTATAGGACCGTTGCAAATCAGGATCTGCTTGCACTGACAACTTCACACACACTATCACCCACTCTCTCGCACACACACACACACACACACACACACAACTCGTGTACACACAGACAGGTCATTCTCTTCGCCAGAAGATCACAGGATGGACGACATATTCACAAAGGCTCACACCAACACACATGCATGCATACACACATACACACACACACACCCAACAACAGACACGCTTTCACACGTCTTTCCTCGAAAATGAACCACATCACCGGTCCGAAACTGGAAATCGCCCTGACCGCTATGGCATTTGGCGCCGATATGCTGCACATGACCCATTGGTCGCTCCGAGTGGGTTGCCAAACGAGGTCAAACCTTCACTATAAAATGTCTCGTCTAATGGAAACCATGACACTCTTTCAGTCATGAGGCATTGGGTGGGCATCCTGTTGCTCTCCTGCAGGCTTCTTGCCTACGATGAGCTACAGTGCATGCCAGCGGCCGGGATCTGCTCGCCAATGGCGCTTTACGAAAAGGTCTTCGATAACTCCTATTTGGGCTCGAACCCAAGCCTAAAATTGGCTGGTCCTTTCACACTAAATGTTTCCGACTGTGCCGTCAAGTGTGCTGTTACTGCGACATGCAAAGGATTTGGCTACTCAAGCGGGGTAGGTCTACCATTTGTCATTTGACTCTACACACGCATCTGTCTGAGTGTATGTGCATTTGTGTGTGTGTGTGT